CGTTCACTACAATTTTTGTACAAGACTGAAAATATTACAAAAATTCCAATTCAAATTTATCAAGAAATGTTAAAATAATGACAACGTACATTCGCTTGCGATTCTCTAGAATTTGAATTTATTCGTGGAAATTCATGACTACGCATGAATTGTTCACACGAATTCACTCATATAGCAAGCATTCTTCGTGAATGCATACAACCGATTTCTACTGGGTACATATGTATGTATGTGTGTAGGTAACAGCGCATCTGCGTTCACAAGTTCGTGATGCAACAGGAGTTTATTTCGTACTTCCTGAAATATTTATCTAGAGATACCTCTCGTTCACTGGAAGAAAGACATAACTCAAACAAATAAAAAGTAAAACGGCAAAAGCGGCTGCAAAATTTTTTAACAGATTTTTCCGCTTGACCATACAGATTAAAAAAATAAATATAACCAAATATAATCATCAAATTTAAATAAGAGCACAATACTGTAATCAAATATTCATACGGACAATGATTAATTGCTTTCTGGTTATATTTGCCAGCAATGTTGAAATGAATAAAATTTACAAGATAGAAAATTTTACGAAACATCAAAGGGGCAGTGGCTTTTTATGCATGCTTCACTTAAAACTTTTTTGTTATTCTTCCAAAAAACGAGAGATCTGTACTACATGTATGCATGTATTGCATGTATGCATGTATTGTGTTGGCTGATACACCGCACATGTTCTACCTAACTATATTAATTCAAAAATTGTAATTTTTGATATGATGTGCCAGAAATGTTCACAAATATTATATTTACTTTCCTGCAAAGACTGAAGTACCATTATTGCAATTTGCTGCAAAAAGCACAGTAAATACTTCCTTCCCCATATGAATTTTATTTGCAATTTTTGACAAACGGATGAACACACTTATGTACGTATATCGCACTTTTAATAACATAGAGAACCATTTCAAAATTTCAAGTTTAAGGGAAAACACAATTCGCCGTTTTTGGGCAGTTTAGTTGCCTCTTATCAAGCTTAGTAATTGTATGATGAAATCTCAAAAAATGTAAATTTTGAATCACATCTCTATACTATTAAACGAGCGATATGTACAGTACATATCGTTCCCCTTATGCCAGAAACAAGAATGTATAAAAATTAAAATGTTGGAAAATCAAGTTTGAAAGTTTATGTAACATTCATGTAATTGACGTTATAAAATATGTGGTTTCGGTGTACGCAAGGTATTCTTAGTCAATCCAATAACTCAAAATTTGTAAATTTGCACATTTATGCTTTTGGCATGAGGGTGACGATATGTTTCCTTTTTAGTAAAAAGTATTAGGTTGATTTCCACTAAATCACTTGGCAATGCTTCTTTTAAAATTACAGTGTTTTCGATTCGTACGAAAAAAGTACGCCAAAGTAATTCATTAGAAACCAGAACTCCGCGTCGTATGAGTGATATTAAATAATTTAGTTCTCGTTCATACGACTCAGACTAGTCAGATCGGCATTCTAAAAGCTGAGTTATGCAAGACTTAGACTTGACTTGACTTGAAAATTGTATATCTGACAAATGAACAGCGCGTGTAGGTAGTTACCCAAAAAAACTAATTCACTTAGAAACTTGGAGGACTATAGATTTTTGATTTCTAAGCAAAATTTCTAAGTGCAATATAATTTGTTGGACAAATGTAATTCATCTGACAATCGAAAAGCAAACATTCAAATAAAGACAGATAATAAAATAAAAACAATCACAATTTTATACGCGTAAATACGTTTATTTTAATGGTAAATTTGTATCAATTTTGGTGTAAAAACAAATTAAACTTTTACAAATACAAGTGCTGAGAATCAAAACAAAGAGAAAAGGTAATAGGTGACACGCTGAGTAATCGCGGCTAAGTTTCTAGGTAAGTCAAGTCAAGTCTAAGTCTTGCCTAACCCAGCTTAAAGTCGTTGTGTTTAATAACAAATAGACAATTTTCCGTTTTTGTGTTGAAAATGGGTAAAAGAAATTAAAAAAACACTTAAAATTTTAAATGAATGATGATCATAAAAAATATTGATTTATGATTATGTTGATTTTTTTCTGGCAATATTTAGCAAAAAATTGAGAATTTTTAAAATTTCGATACATTAAATTCAAGCTCCCTGGTTTCCCGCGAATATTTACTTCGATATATCGGTATTTGACAATGTGGTATCGCGGTTCTTATGTACCGAAATTAACTCTTGAAGACCAATGAAGCATGTTTTACAAAGAGTGATTTTGCCCGTAACAAATACATATATATGTAAATTTTGAAAAGCTCTTTCTTGCTTTTGCGTTTTTTACCTCTTATTGTTTTTTTGTTGAAGAGAGAAATATTTTTACAAAATATAAAAAAAAACTTAAAAAATGCGCATACCTTGTGACTCCAAAGGCTTTATATATGTATGTAGTTACTTTAGTTGAATAAAATTTTGAAAAAAAGCCGGTTGGAGCTAATCAGGGCTATTACGGAATCCGTAGTAGAAAATCTACGAATTCGAATGCCTGCTACGTATACGAAAAAATTGCTATCACTGAATCCGAGTGAACTCGAAAATAACTTTTGCTTAGTGCAAAAGAAACAATGGATTTATGTATGCCATTTTGCTCACGCTGCCCCAGCAAGTGCAATGGCCGAGTGAGAAAAGCACTAGACTGTCAATTGAGAGATCCGAGTTCGAGTCCGAGTCATCGGGCAGCGAGCTTTTTTATATTTTTTTATTTAATTTTTGTTTCTTTTTAACCGACTTCCAGTTCGTCGGAATATATTTTTTTTTATGTATGTTACCGCATAACTTTGGACCACGTCAACCGATTTTGATAATTCTTTTTGCATCGGAAAGGCAGTGTCTTAGAGGTGGTCCCATACTGATATCTGGTTTAGATCCGATCAATGGATCATGAAATATATATACACTTAGGTTTTTTTTATGCGGTACATGCGTTCCTCAGAAAGCCGCATAAAAAAAAATCCGCATAAAAAGTTCTTTACTTTCATACAAAAACAGGGGATGCGTTCCAGCATTTTCCAAAACCGCATAAATTCAGATACTCCATGTAAAAAAAAAATCTAAAAAACCGCATAAAAAATCCAGTGAGGCAATATTAAGCAAAAAAACAATTTATTTCTTCACTTCAACGCTAATTATTCCATGTAAAACTGAACATTGATGAAATAAATAAAATTGTATCTGTATTTTAACCAAAAACAAAAAAAAAATACCACAATAAATACATGAATTATGTAAGAATACAAAGACAAATTATTTATCAGAAGCATTGCCTCTTACACACTGACAAAAAAGTAAGAAAAACTCTCAAAAAAGAAAAATCGCTACAGCGAAAAAATGGTTTGAAAAACCGCATAAATTCAAATCTTCATAAAAAAGCCGCATAAAAAGAGACCTAAGTGTATATATATTAATTTTTTTATATGAGAATTGAAGTCGGTTTGGTTTTTTGATAAAAAATTACTTTTTTTAATATTTATTTTTTTTTTGTTTAGATATTACTCCTTGAAAGAGAAAAATATTATTTTTTTTAAGTAATTTAAATATTTTTTTAAACTAATTTTTATGATATTAAAGTAATTAGGTTTCTTTCCTAATAAATTGTTGTTAAAATATTAGTTCC